AATAAATCTATTGATTTAGTTATTTATATTAGATTTATTTAGATTTATATTTGAATAATTTATATATAATTTTATGTTCAAAAAACTTTAGTTAATTGTGTTTTGAAATTTTAGAATTTTATTTATTATAATTAAATATTAATTGATTATAGATGAAAAAATTTATATTTTAATATAAATTTATATTTTAATATAAATTAACAGAAAATGAGAATTCATAAAGAACGAAAACAGGGGATAAAATCCACCTCTCGTTAAAAATTTCTATTAAAATTCACATCCCCGCCATTCATTGGATAAGAACGAGAAGAGACTCCTCGGCCTCGCACAGCCTCGTTGCCACCCCTTTGACGTTAAACACCATTGAAGATAAATAAAAACATTGCAACCTCAAATTGACAATCATGGAAAGATTTTGCAAATTGAGGCAAACTTTGGTAAAAACAGAATTGATGGCAGCAGTACTCTCGTTGCTACTAAACTCTGAAACGTAATATTCCTTTCAATTGGTTTGAATCTTAAAAGCATTCCCTATTCATTTGAAAAACAAACACTGATATAATTGAATGAATCGACAGAGGGCACAAAATGCCATGCTACTCACGTAACACAATGCTACGTGCACCAATCCCAACGCTAAACTTCTACCCCCACGGGGCCTTCCCCTATTGGTCTCCTGAAATCTTACTCTATATATACCCAACGATGCCTCCCCCTGCTCCCTCCTCTAACCAAACGCAGAAACAATTTATTTTTGATTCCAAACGCAGCCTTATCGTAATGTCGTTGGATACGGTGGCGGAGTCCCCGGTGAGTGACGTCACCAGCCTGAATTTTGAGGATACTGAATTGACTCTACGATTACCAGGCCGGCAGGTTCGCTCACCGACGGTCACTGGAGCAAAGTGCTGTTCTAAAAGGGGATTCATGGACACCGTTGATCGCAACCACGGTTGCTCTTCAACTTCAACATATGGCAACTTTGTCTCCGACTGCCACTGTGCCGGACAACCACCACCTGCCAAGTAAGCTTCCCATTCGTAATGAATCATAAGTCAATTATCTGTACATATTAAAGCTTTAATTCTGAAATGGAAAATCTATCGTACTGACTGGATTACACCAGATTGCACAACAGGAACCATTGGATGAGGGGCAGATTTTTAGATATTTAAAATTCTCCCCCATCTAATTGTGACTGTTTTATAATCAGGTACAATCCGTTCACATGGACTGCAAAACAGGGTACCCAAAATGAAATTATGGTCACAGATTGATGTTTACCAGATGTTTGTGAAAAGTACTGATTGATATAGTTGTGGCATGAAGGGCACAGGTTGTCGGTTGGCCACCAGTGAGATCATCGAGGCAGAAGGCTGTGACAGCCAGGAGCTGTAAATACGTGAAGGTGGCCGTAGATGGAGCACCGTATCTCCGGAAAGTAAACCTGGAGGAATACGTCGGCTATCAGGAGTTGCTGGAGGCACTGGAGAAATTGTTCACATCTTTCACCAAAAATCGTGAGTTTCAGGACAATTTTAAAATTGAGCCAAAATTGTACTTAGATGTATATTCCAAGCTTAATAAATTGTGATTAATTCTAGGTAATTATATGGAGATGGATTTGGTGAAGGGGATGGATTATGTACCAACATACGAAGATAAGGACAGAGACTGGATGTTGGTTGGAGACGTTCCTTGGGCGTAAGTACATTCATAATCTCGATTTGCTTAGTTGAAGAAAATTAATCTTTGTTCAAAATTTTAAAATGTCTTACATATTGTATAATGTAACAGGATGTTCATAGAATCTTGCAAGCGAATTCGTCTAATGAAAAGCTCAGAGGCTGCAATCTTAGGTGATTATGATCGAATATAGAATTACTTGCATTCAATTGTTATAAATCCTTTGCTTACTAATTGCTAATTTGTTTTAATTTTTGCAGATCCAAAAACTTCAGCCAAATCCTCAAAAACTAATTCTTGGCAAGAGAGCATGCATGTACAGAATGATAGATCCTGGTGTTGAGGTTGAGGGGATGATGAGATTAACATGGTAGAAATAAATTGTTCAGCAGCGAGATCTTTTCTTAATTAATTATCTTGTAATTATGTAGATTGGTCTCACTATATATAGATGGTATGTAAATTAACCAAAAAGGGGTTGATGCCACAGAAACCATTTCACATACATAGGAGGATTTGGAAGGGTTCTTGATTCATGTCTCTGTTAGTTTGAATCCCACATCGAAGTCCAAAAAAATGAAGTTTGTGTTTTTTCTGCTGAAGGAAATGAGGATATCAATTAGCTTCATTGAGCTTAAACGCAACGAATTTTGAAGCCTGCAGAGCCCAATCTGGCCCCAGAAGTTTGGCCTGTAGCACCTGGTTAATACCAAAAACAGAAAACCAAAAAACCAAAAAGCAAAAACACCCATCATGGTCCTCTGTTCTCCTCGTTTGTAAAAGGAATTTATTCTCTACTATACCAGGATTCAAATTGAAATTAAGACCTGGACAAGATGTGATGTTGATAAGGGATGATTTAAGGGGATTTACATTCAAACTTTGGCTGTAGTGGTGAATATAGCTGGATAATGATAAGAAACAAATTAGTTTCTTAATATACATAGAGAAAGTGAAGGTAAATATAGTTGGATAGATAACTATAATAAATTAGTGAAAGATGGAGTACATGTAAATGAAAACGTACCAAAAAATAATAATAATGTTAATGAATCATATCTTCTATGTTTTGATTAAAAACCTTATAATATAAGCATTTGTGAGAGAAAAAGATACTCCGTTTTTTTTTTTTTTTTTCCAAAAAATGAATTATTGCTTTTTAATTTTTCTCTAAATTACTAAGTTGAAGATAATTTATGTATTTACCTATTATATCATAAAAATGAGATAAAAGATAAAGATAGACTTTTTATGATATGATGGTTAATTAAAGTGAATAAATATATATTTTTTTTTGAACATTTTGACACGGGGCGGGTTCGAAACCCACGCAGGGGAGGGGAGAATGCACCTAGCAAGCTGACTAATGCCAGTGGGCCTCTAGGCCCATGTGCTAAAGTGAATAAATATTGATAGGGTTAAATTAGTAAAAATAAGAATATCTACCCCAAAAAAAAGGAAAAAAAATTTAGAACACATTCAAAATAGAAAAATGAAAGTTATTTTGAAATGAGTAGAGTATATAATTGTAATAGTTATAAATGCAAAGATAGAAGAAATTAATGAAGATTTGTTAAACTACTCTATTGTGTTTGTTTCAAAAAATTTTCATTGACATGGAAGTTAGATATTTGTTTATAATAAATTAATACATATGCGTTTGAAATAGTTTTTATAATTGAATTTTTCTATCTTGTACTATTAGAACACAAATTAAGAATATATTAATTTTACATTTTTACAATTAATTTGTATAAAAAACTAAAAGTTAATTTTAAATTTATCACCCAATTGAAATCAAGGGTTGAGAAAAATCAAGATGTTTGGCATTTAAAATATTAGAAATGATAATAAAAAACTAAAATATCTTTAATAAATCAATACGTAAAATGAATTCATTATAAATATTTAAATAATTTTGTAAAAAATCCTAACATTTAAAATATCGAGATATCTTGATTTTCATCTTTCTCTTAAAATCATCTATGCAGCATCATTGTAAAAAATACTATTTATTTTTACATATTTTTATAAAAACTTATTACAAAAAATTACAATTAATTCACCTTAAAAAGCATAAGTTAGAACAATTAATTATAATTAAAGATGAATATGAAATTTTATCAATAAATTATTATATCTCTATTTTATTGGACAAAAACTAAATTTTTTTTAGTACTAACCTCTTGATATACGAAAGTTACATACAACCTTTATTAATTTGAAATTAAGTCACGTCAGATCTTAGAAAAAAAAATTAAATTTACCAAAAATAAACTAATAAAGTAATAAAAAATTAATTTTAATTATAAATTAATATTATTATATTCATTAATTACTAAAAAGATACAATGCAAACCAACCAAACAAACCGCATGATTTTAGAATCCATTATTTAATAAATTTTCATTTATCCCCAAAAAAAAAAGGTTTTTTTTTATAAGATAAAAAGTAAAAAACAAGGTTTTTTTTAGAGAACATTAATAGAACATAGACATAAAAATTGAACGAGAGTCTGTAACAGCAATGAATTGATGATTTCGAGACGTTATTTAATTCTCACCCTTCTTGAGATTGGAAATGAGTTTAATAAGCCCATTTATATTTTGTAGATGAAATTTTCCAATCATGTGTTCTCATGCCAGAGATTAAGGCTG